CCCCAAAGCCCCAGTAGATAGTTGTATGTCATAGTTGCACATCCTTCTAGTTGCTGTATGTGGGACGTGGCCTCAGCATGGCCGGAGAAGCGGTGCGTACGTGCACGCCCGGATCCGAACCCAGGCCACCAGCAGTGGAGCGTGCGCACTTAACCACTAAGCCACAGGGCCGGCTCTATTTTTGTTTTCTTTTTAATTTTTTTTCCCTTTTTCTCCCGAAAGCCCCAGTAGATAGTTGTATGTTATAATTGCACATCCTGCTGGTTGCTGTATGTGGGACGCCGCTTCAGCATGGCCGGACAAGCAGGGCAACTGTGTGCGCCCGGTATCCAAACCCGGGCTGCCAGTAGCAGAGCACGAGCACTTAACCGCTAAGCCACGGGGCCAGCCCCTGTTTATCTTTCTGATAATAGTTGCAGGCAAGTTTCCTTTTTTTTAAGAATTTATGTAAGTGAAATAAGGCTATTTCTCCTCTTCATCTACTGTTGCCCATTAAAGGTCTTTTATATATTTCTTTTGTCTGTTTATAGCTTCAGAACTAGCAAAAACACCAAGAAAAAGTGCTGCATTCAATTTGAAGAATGATCCTGAAATTATGATAAACATTCCTCAATGTAGCAAGGGTAAGACTTTACCTCAGTTCTTTGAAGAGAGTTTTCAAAGTTGCTTCAAGTTGCAGTATGTTACTTTCTTTCTTGTCAAAGTGCATTTTTATATAATTTTTTCTTTTCTATTCTGAAAATTCATTCGGCAAAATGCAGTTAATACCCCAACCTGTGTGCCTTAGTATCCCCATATTTAGCTATCAATGAAGGGGGAAAGTATCTGTGCTGGTTGAAGTTATGCAAATGGACAAGGCCAACTAGAAACAGTCTGAAAACCGTGTTGTCGTTTGTTTGAGTTAGCCAGATGTTCATGGAAGATTTGCTTTGGCAAGTACTATTTGAGATAAGGCTTTGGAAGTCTTATAGTTTGTGGAGAATTGTGGAGCTATTGTTTTTGCGTGACCCATTCCAACCAGGTTAAACAGTGTACTTTTTAAATGATGAACCATGAGAAGGGCTCCATTTTTTCTTGGTATATGAATGCTACAGAAATTCAGGATGTAGCTGTCACTAATGGGAGTAATCATGACATTAATAGTGACAATTCAGCCTCTAGTGCAGATGCAGTTAGTTGAGAATTCAATAATATGTGGTGGCTTCTAGGTAGAAACTGCAACTTTGCTTTTAATGTAACTAGACTATTATGGAAAGTGAAGTATTTGTAGTAAGTGATGGCTTTTTGTTTCATTCTTTAGGGCCTTCTGCTTCAGACAAAGTTCAGTTGAAGGTAAGCAGTTGACTGAAAACAGGCAAACACCTTAGTGTTACACAGTAAGACATGATGAAAAATATCCATTTCGGGTGCTGGCCTGGTGGCATAGTGGTTAAGTTCGGTGCACTCCGCTTCGGCGGCCCAGGTTCGAGGGTTCGGATCCTGGGTGCAGACCTACACCACTCATCAAGCCATGCTGTGGCGGTGACCCACATGCAAAATAGAGGAAGACAGGCACAGATGTCAGCTCAGGGCAGCTCTTCCTCCAGCAAAAAGAGGAAGATTGGCAACAGGTGTTAGCTCAGGGCCAATCTTCCTCACCAAAACAATACTAATAATAATCCATTTCGTCTCTTAATTTATATAGTGCTTTATAATTTACAGGTATTTGCCAATTAAATAACTAACTTATAAGTGGAGAATCTGAGGTTCAGCGATCTGAAGTGAGTTGTCTAAGTTCACCTAACTAGGAAGGAGAAAAGCTGGAAAATGAAGCCAGGTCTTCTGGACCCAACTGTCATGACTTTTCTGTGTCAGAACTATCCCTAGGTATTTTCAACTTAGTAGAGCTGGCCTGGCAATTTTATGGTTTTTGGTTTGTTTTGTTTTGCTTTTATATATAGTGTTTTGTTGTTTCTTGGGAGATTGATCTCGAGATCCATTAAATACATTAATCTGTCCTTTTATAATTTACATTTGAAAGCTAAATTGGATTTGGTCAGTTCATTCCAGGGTAGCTGAAAGGAATTGACAACTTTTATCTTCTCCTTTGTGTTTTTTTTTGTGTGTGTGTGTGAGGAAGATCAGCCCTGAGCTAACATCCTGGCCAATCCTCCTCTTTTTTGCTGAGGAAGACTGGCCCTGGGCTAATATCTGTGCCAATCTTCCTCTACTTTATATGGGACACCACCACAGCCTGGCCTGACAAGTGGTGCATTGGTTCGTGCCCGTGATCTGAACCCAGGCCGCCAGCAGCAGAGCGTGCGCACTTAACCGCTACGCCACAGGGCCGGCTCCGAACTGAGTCTTGATAAGTAAGCTGTTGTTTGATAAGCAGGCTGTTTGCCTGGTGAGAAATCTGTTGTCCTCGTGGGAGAACAGGTTGCCCAAATGAGCAAACTGTCGAGATAAATTAGTTTGCAGAAATTTCTGTAGCAAAGAGGAGTTATTTATTAGTTTATAGCCTTATCTTTTTTTTTTTGAAAGACTTTATTTATTTATTTATTTATTTATTTTTTCCCCCAAAGCCCCAGTAGATAGTTGTATGTCATAGCTGCACATCCTTCTAGTTGCTGTATGTGGGACGCGGCCTCAGCATGGCCGGAGAAGCGGTGTGTTGGTGCACTCCCGGGATCCGAACCCGGGCCGCCAGCAGCGGAGCGCATGCACTTAACCGCTAAGCCACGGGGCCGGCCCTAGCCTTATCTTTTTGAGTGAGAATTTTCTGAAATGGTTATTTTGACACAGGTGTTCTCAGACCTGATAATTAAGCCATATGGATGCAGGTTGTCTCAACTCTCAATCTTGAAATCGGTTTAGTAGGATGTGACTAGCAGTTTAAAAAATGAAATAGAATAAAATAGAAAATTTCTTATTTTGTAAGTGTTATTTCAATATAGTTTGTTTTGGTTATATATGTACCAGAGTACCAGATCAAGGTGGCAAAATATAAAAGATCAGAATCAAAAAAGTTTGAAACATACTGTCATATACTTTATAAACCCGTTGAGATCAGCTCAATTATCATAGTACTATTCTTTTTGTTGTTTTTTTTTTAGCTGAGGATGATTTGCCCAGAGCTAACATCTGTTGCCAATCTTCCTCTTTTTGCTTGAGAAAGATTAGCCCTGTGCTACCATCTGAGCCAATCTTCCTCTATTTTGTACGCGGGACACCGCCACAGCATGGCTGACAAGTGGTATACGTCCGTACCCGGGAACTGAACCTGGGTTGCCAAAGCAGAGCACGCTGAACTTAAACACTAGGCCACAGGGCCAGCCCCTATAGTACTATTCTTAATATCCCAAATCAAAATTTTTTTTTTAATTTTATTTATTTATTTATTTTTCCCTCAAAGCCCCAGTAGATAGTTGTATGTCATAGTTGCACTTCCCTCTAGTTGCTGCATGTGGGACGTGGCCTCAGCATGACCGGAGAAGCAGTGTGTTGGTGCTCGCCCGGGATCCGAACCCGGGCCGCCAGCAGCGGAGTGTGCGCACTTAACCACTAACCCACGGGGCCAGCCCCCAAATCAAAATTTATTAACATCTGTAACTAGCACAAACAACCTATCACAAGACAACAGACTTAAATTTTTTATTTTCATATTGCCAAAAAAATACAGGGTACTTTATCTTTTTTTTCTTTTTGGTGAGGAAGATTGGCCCTGAGCTAACATCTGTGCCCATCTTCCTCTGTTTTGTGTGTGGGATACCGCCACAGCATGGCCTGATGAGCAATGAGTAGATTCACGCCTGGGTTCTGAACCCACGAATCCCGGGCCGCCGAAGCAGAGTGCTAGAATTAACCGCTACGCCACCAGGCCGGCCTCCAGGGTACTTTATCTTTTTATCAATACCGTAAAAAATTAACATGTATGCAGCAGTGGATATTTTAATGTGCTAGAAAGTTAATGGTGTTAAAATATTATATTATGTGAGGGAAAGAAAAACATAGTTTATACTTCCATAAAATGTTTAAAAATTTAAAAATACAGAAGTAAAAGTTATAAATGTGTTTCTTCCTTACAGAATGTAATGCTTTAACACCAGTAAATTTCTAGCCCGTTAAAAGACCCATTGCCATGTGCATAGGAGCACCTATTTCCTTACTTACTCATCGTCACTGGATATTATTACTTTTTTTTTTTTTTTGTGAGGAAGATCGGCCCTGAGCTGACATCTGCCAATCCTCTTCTTTTTTTTTTACTGAGGAAGACTGGCCCTGGGCTAACATCCATGCCCGTCTTCCTCTACTCTCTACTTTATATGGGACGCCGCCACAGCATGGCTTGCCAAGCGGTGCGTGGGTGCGCGCCCGGGATCCAAACCGGCGAACCCGGGGTCGCTGCAGCAGAGCACGCACACTTAACAGCTTGCGCCACCGGGCCGGCCCCTATTACCTTTTTTTAAAAAAAATATTCTGCGGGCCAGCCCCGTGGCTTAGCGGTTAAGTGCACGTGCTCCGCTACTGGCGGCCTGGGTTCAGATCCCGGGTGCGCACTGATGCACCGCTTCTCCAGCCATGCTGGGGCTGTGTTCCACACACAGCAACTAGAAGGATGTGCAGCTATGACATACAACTATCTATTGGGGCTTTGGGGGAAAAAAAAAAAAGAGAAGGATTGGCAGTAGATGTTAGCTCAGAGCCGGTCTTCCTCAGCAAAAAGAGGAGGATTAGCATGGATGTTAGCTCAGGGCTGATCTTCCTCACAAAAAAAAAAAATATTCTGCTAATCTGATAGGTGAAAAGTGGTTCAAAAGGCTGTCAAGATGGGGAACTGATGCCTGATACTTATGCCTTTTCTTTACATAATAAAAGTACATACATACTCTATGGCTGTCTAGAGTACAACTTCTAGAATCACTCTAGGAGTCCTTTAGAATTTCTAGTATCGTTTTTGTTGTACACTCTTTATTTTTTTTTCCCGAACAACTTGATTTGTCATTGTCTTCTAGTTCTAGGAACTAGGCTCATCTAGTTCTAATGTAGTCTATTGAAAACAAAATATTTTTCTTCTCTTCTAACCTCTTTCACTCATCCATCATTAATTAATTTCCACGTTGTCATTATTGTTTGACTATTTAAAGTATATTGCTTTTTTATTTTTAAACAGACCAATGATAAAAGTGAGTTTCTGTCAACACCTCGTGCTCTAAGGAAAAGATTAATGGGTATGTGTTTCTTTTTACACTGAATCTTTATAAAAAACAAGAGGCTGGTGAACGAGGGGCAGTAATGGTTAAGTATACAGGTTCTAGTCTTAGACTGCTTGCTTCTTGCCTCTGGCCTGCCACTTCAGGGACGTCTCTGTGCCTCAATTTTTTCATCTGCGAGACAGGGATAATGATAACTAGCCCCAGAGTTCTTCTGAGCTTAATTGAAATATAGGGTGTCAAAAGTGCTTCATCGGGGGCTTGACCAGGCTATGTGCTTAACGGGTGTGGGCTGTTATTATCTTTCATTGTTACAACTACTTTTTTTTTTAAATAATTTTATTTATTTTTTTCCCCCAAAGCCCCAGTAGATAGTTGTATGTCATAGTTGCACATCCTTCTAGTTGCTGTATGTGGGACGCGGCCTCAGCATGGCCGGAGAAGCGGTGTGTCGGTGCGCACCCGGATCCAAACCCGGGCCACCAGCAGCGGAGCGCGCACGCTTAACCGCTAAGCCACGGGGCCGCCCTGTTACAACTACTTATTGCTATTCCTTGTCATGGAAGAAAGGATATGTTCATGTCCTCAATTAAACTGTAGATTCCTTAAGGGCAAGGACTATATCTTATATTTTTAACTCCAACACTTAGCACTGTGTCTTTTATGTTATAATCAGTGGATGTTGAGGTTACTTAAAATGTCTCTCCAATAAAATAACATGCTTTTTAGTTTGTTTTGAGTCAGTTTTGGAAGTGGTTCTGTTGATTTATTTAGAAATTTTATAATGAAATAATTTTAGATATTCATAGTTGTACTGCATGCTATCCAAGGCCAAGTAAACAGACATGGATCCTGCCTTCTGGGAGATTAAAAATGGTTTTAAAGTTTTAAATATTGAAGTTTGGGGCAAATGACTTGTTGAGTTTGTATTTCAGAGCTGTCAGCTCCTTTCTTGGGGCTGACCACTTGACAATAATATTACCTAACGTTGTCAAATCCATACTGTAGCCTGTTCTTTTCAAGGTATAGATTTCATAAAGCTGTCCATACTACATTTTTAATCACATAAAAATGATAATACTAGGTGATTGCATATCTGAAGCAGTAAGAGCTGGTATTTGCAATTATGATTATTATTGTTTTATGTCAGATACATCCCATATCCTATGTTTCCTCCTTACCCCAAAGAAGAATCCTTTTCAGAGAGAAGGTCAACTTCCTCTTCCTTCTCAATGACCAGCAAACATGTGTCACTACATGTATGATGTATACATGTAAATTAGGAGGAGACATTTTCTGGTACCTCCCACCACTTCTAACTCATGCATCTATCGTGGGCAGCAGTCAGCAAATCTGAATCTGATAAGCTATACATGCCCACAAAATCACTCCTTCTTTGTTTCTCTTTTAGTATCTGTGTTTGTTTATGTTGAATCTGGATATTCTGAAATATATCTATTGTTGAGGATAAATATACTGATTTGGTTAGTTATTTCACTCATATTTTCGAAGTTAACTTTTTGTAGTAGTTTTATTCTTATTTTTTTAAGTGTAAAACTAGTTTTATCTTTATGAGTGTAAAACTAGCTTTGTTATTTCTGGGAAGTGGCTATGGTTTGTTTAAAAATATAATTCTTGTATCAACTCTGGGCTGGAGCGTGCCTGTGTACTAGTAGTACTTGCAATAGTAGCTACCATTTAGTAAGTACTGTATCAGGATGGTGTTTTCAGTAGGCAGCAATGGAAAATTCTACAACAGTGGCTTAAGCCATAGACATTTAAGGATCTCACACCATAAGAAGTTGAGGGATACACAGTTCTATGGTTGATGTAGTGACTCAACAGCTTCTTCCTGTCTTTTTGCTTTGCCACCAGCATTTTTCATCTTTAGATTTGATACTTCATATTGCAGAATGGCTTCCATAGCTTTAAGCTATGGGTATAAATAAGGGGCTTTCCTTCCATAGTGAGGAAAATTTTTCCCAGAAGCCTCCAGCAAGTTTCCCCTCAAGTTTCATTGGTCAGAGGGTTACATAGCCAACCGTAGTTGCAAAGGAGGCTGAGAAAGCAAGTATCTGGCAAAGAAAAAGGTGATTACCATGATTATCTATCCCTTAGGGTGGGGCACATTGCCACATTTTACAAAATTGGAGTTCTCTTAGCAAGGAAGAAAGAATGGTATTAGGCATGATTGACAGTTTCTGCCACAGTTCCTATGTGTCAGGTATTGTTGGTTGCTTTACATACATATCAGTGTAATCTCCACGAATGGTTTATTAAATTAGACACTATTCGCCTCATTTGATAAGTGAGGAAACTGGTGCTCAGAAAACTTACCTACTTAGCTCTGGTGAAACCGTCAGCGAGTCATGAGAAAACCACCAGTCACGCTCTCTCACTTCCAAGCCCACACTCTTCCTGTCGTCCCACAGGCCTCTCTTGTCAGATGGCAAAGCTTCTTCATTGCGTTTTCCCCCACAGTTCCAAGGTCTCATTCTGACAGTGAAAGTGAATATTCTGCTTCCAACTCAGAGGAGGATGAAGGAGTTGCACAAGAATACGAAGAGGACACTAATGAAGTCATACTGAGCCAAAAGAGTCAAGCTCAGAGTAGAGTAGTTTCCGCTCCTGTTTGCAAAGAAACACCTCCTAAGAAAATGAAAAGAGATAAAACAGTAAGTGAAGAGACTTTAACCTTAAAGAAAAGTTGTATAATATCTCAAAGATAAGCTACCCTAAGGAAAGAGATCCAAATGGGAGAATCAACATAATTTTTTTTCTTTTCTACATTTTCTCAGCCTTTCACATAAATTTCCATGTATATTTGTGTCTATTTCTGGACTTTCTATCCTGGCCTGTCTGCGTCCATATTCGTATATCAATACCATAGTATATGCTAAAGGTGATGTCTCAATTCAATTGTATAAAATGTATTATCTTTTAAATAAATAAATATTGATTGGATAATTGGAGGAAAGACCTCTCAGTGTATACCTTTTTATATAGTTTTGTTTTGTAACATTGTTGATGTATTCAGGTCAGTGTAAGCAATAGACTGTGTGGCTGTGGATCCACCTTGAGTTGTGTAGAACACTGCAGACACCATGGCTTGAGAAAAGGCTAATTCTCCTGGTGTTCTGTGTCAAGATTCAGAGCAGTCTAGGAAGCCTACTGGCTTTCCATCCCTTCCTTACCAACGTGGAGGGTAGTCCTGCCCTCCACCAGTAGAACAAGTACCAGTAGAACAAGTAGTGAGCCATTTTCCTGAAATAGTAGACAAATCTTTTTTCACCTTGTTGTTGGTATCCTCCTTGTTTTAACAGCTTTGCAACTGTACTATTATTAAAGGATTTCTTAGGACTGTGTGAGGCAAAACAAAGGTCCTAATATGTAAAACGCTTTTTTTTTTTTTTTAATCTTAACGGAAATTATCTGTTGGAACTTAGGAATTGTTTTTGGGAACAGACTACTTTAATCTAGGCATTTCTTTAACTTTTATGATCCTAAGAGTTACTCAGTTTTATTACTAGAATTAAATTCGCTTGGTCCTTAATCTGTGTTGTTGCTTCAAAAAGAAAATATTGACTGCCAAATAAAGAATTTCACATATCCTATTTTACACTAATATTACTGTCTGGTTTTGATATAAAACAAATAGCTGAAACTAAGAACTGACTTTGCTCTGTCCACTTTCAGAGTGACTTAGTAGAAGAATATTTTGAAGCTCATAGCAGTTCAAAAGTTTTAACCTCTGATAGAACACTGCAGAAACTAAAGAGACCTAAGTTGGATCAGGTATGTTGCAAGAAATGTTACTTCTAAATTTTTCTTATTGTGAGCTGAAAAATATACTACATAAAGCACCAATTTTGAAGACTAAGTGTACACAAGCAGAATTATTGTCCTGATCAAGTGAAACACAAATTAATGTGATGTAACTATTACATATTTTATTATATAAATGGTAGATGGTTCACTGGATTAGAATTCTGTTTGACATACTATAATTACACATTGTTTCTCTTATCATTTCTTTAGGATTTGTAATAATCATCAGGGTCGTGGTTTCTTTGCTATCCATGTACCATTAATCTTTGTTATGCATTTAACCCACATATTCATTGAACCTGGCACAGTCTAGTCATAAAACAAAGACTATGACCTGACTCTTTCAGTTACAAACCTTACAAAAAGCAGAGGGTGTTCTCCTTCTTGATATTATGGAAAACCTGCCCAGCACAGTAAGGTAACAAGGTTGCTATATACTTTGATTTCAGTATCTCATTTTGTAAAAAATACCATACAGTTGTACTTATTGGGGTTTTGACTCATACCTCCTTAAGGGGAGACAGAACCATCTGAGTAAGAAAAGTTTTCAGTAGAAAGTGGAGTTGATAACCTAAATCAAGAAGAGATTGTGGGGGCCGGCCCCGTGGCTTAGTGGTTAAGCGTGTGTGCTCGGCTACTGGCGGCCCGGGTTCGGATCCTGGGCGCGAACCGACACACTGCTTCTCCCGCCATGCTGAAGCCGCGTCCCACGTACGGCAAGTAGAAGGATGTGCAACTATGACATACAACTATCTACTGGGGCTTTGGGGGAAAAGAAAAGGAGGAGGATTGGCAATAGATGTTAGCTCAGAGCCAGTCTTCCTCAGCAAAATGAGGAGGATTAGCACGGATGTTAGCTCAGGGCTGATCTTCCTCACTGGGAAAAAAAAAAAAAAGAAAAGATTGTTATTGGCTCAAAGAGTGTTAAGATTTTTACTATTCTCGGGGCTGGCCCGGTGGCACAAGCGGTTGGGTGCGCATGCTCCACTGCAGCGGCCCGGGATTCGCAGGTTCAGATCCTGGGCATGCACCGACGCACCACTTGTTAAGCCATGCTGTGGCGGCGTCCCATATAAAGTAGAGAAGATGGGCACAGATGTTAGCCCAGGGCAAGTTTTACTCAGCAAAAAAAAGAGGAGGATTGGCATTGGATGTTAGCTCAGGGCTGGTCTTCCTCACACACAAAAAAAATTTTATTATTCTCTGCAAACTAGAATTTAGTCCAATTTTCTGAGGTGTACCGGGCTTTTGAAAGAGTTTTTCAAGCTATAGAAAAGAGGAAGGAGAATGTAGGGTAAGCTTCTATGACCTGGATGACATGGTGCTGTGTGGTGGTTTTGTTTTGTTTTGTTTTGTTTGTCACCTGGCTCATTGGTATTAAGACTCAGATCAGAAACTAGCTTAAAGCATGTGTCAAGAAGACAAGTTGTTCCAAAGAAGAGATGGCTCTAACATCTGCTTAGTCCATATATATATATATATATATTATTTTTTCTTTTTTTTCCTGAAGAAGATTCTCCCTGAGCTAACATCTGTGCCAGTCTTTGTCTATTTTTTTGTATGTGGGTTGCTGCCACAGCACGACCGCTGATGAGTAGTGTAGGTTTGTTCCCCAGGAACTGAAACTGGGTCGAAATGGAACTTAACCACTAGGCCACAGGGCTGGCCCCCAGTGCGTATATTTTTATATAAGCAACATGGGAGAAGGATAAATGGATCTAGGGTCAAAGGAGGACTTCATAGGACCTAGAGACAAAAAGACCTCTCAGATGATGAAAGCAACACCTGTTACTGATAATGAGGAAAGGAAAGTCTTTCATTGATTGTGGTCATGGCTAACCAATACAGTCTCAGTAGCATGTGTCAGTAAGCATGTATTTCTCATGTCTGGGGTCAGCTGGGTGTTGGCTGATCTAGGATTTGCTCCATACATCTCTCTTCCTCCTTGGACCAGCAGGCCAGCTGAGCCATGTTCTTCTTGTGACAGTTTCATAGATGTAAGGGAAGAGGTGGAAAAACACGAGACCTCTGAAAGCCTGGGCTCAAAACTGGCTCATTGTCACTTCTGCCTCATCCTAATGGCCACTGCAAATCACGTGGCTGAAAACAAAGTCAAAAAGCAGGCAACTAGACTCCACCTCTTTAGTGGGAGGGACTGCAGAGTCACATGGTAAAGGGCGTGCATAGAGGGAGAGGGGAAGTATTGGGGCCAATAGTGCGCTTCTCCACCAATACTAAAGTTTGAATTGAAAGTTCATAGGTAAGATAACATTCCAGAGTTCACACTCAGGTGTGAGTATGCTCTGATAATCCAGTATAAGTGACTACTGGAAATGATACTAGTGCTTTATCTGATTTTTCAGGGCTCTAAACTTCAGAAGGAATGAGAGAAATTTTAAAAACTGCCTAGGGCCGGCCCCTTGGCTTAGCGGTTAAGTGCGTGTGCTCTGCTTCGGCCCAGGTTCGGATCCTGGGGGCTTACCGACGCACCGCTTCCCCGGCCATGCTGAGGCCGCGTCCCACATGCAGCAACTAGAAGGATGTGCAACTATGACATACAACTATCTACAGGGGCTTTGGGGGAGAAGAAAAAGGAGGAGGATTGGCAATAGATGTTAGCTCAGAGCCAGTCTTCCTCAGCAAAAAGAGGAGGATTAGCATGGATGGTAGCTCAGGGCTGATCTTCCTATTTAACAGTTTTGCTTAGAACTTGTCCTATTTCTCTTTAAGTATGTGGATAAATAAAAAGTATACAGGCCGGAGTGCCTGGAATGATGATTGCAACTCTAGTCTTCAGTAGTAAAGAAATATTTCACTTAAAGGGCAGAATCATGAAAACATTGTGGTGCCAGGGTAAAAACGCATATACAGCTTTTTGCTAGAGACTTCATTTCAAAAAGTGAGCTATGTGGGGTTCACCAGCATGAATTTTCAAGTTTTGGTTGCAGGGCAATGTACATTACTCAATTTATTTACATTATCATTTCAAAAACTTTGCTATACTTATTGAAGATAAACGACTTGTTAGAGATAGCTTTTGGAAGAGGAGCAGGGATACAAGTGTATTTTACTAATGATAACGGTAAATTATAAAGAACCTTTAATTTTTTTCTGAGAATTAATATTGAACTGTTACCTTAAGCTTTTACATTTTTTCAGATCCGTAGGTTTTTTAAAGTCTGGATTTGTTGTCAAAGCTGGGAGGCAGGTTTAATCATCTCCTTATGGTAACGATCTTTTTAGAAATGAAAGCATTATATGTGGAATTTACAATTGTGTAAATGGTTCTAGTCAAAACTTAGTAAAAATTCTTTAGTGTTATTAAATATTTGTACTAAAAAGAATATTTAAAAATTTTTAAGAAAACAAATATTTGAATTGTATTTGAAATAGGTATATTCAGTTGATACATTAATTACCAAACCTGATTAAAGTTGTATTTCTACTAATGGCCTTTCCTAACCTCTACCTCTAAGGAAATATTTTTAGTTTGGATTGATTTGATGTATGTAGCTTGAGAGTGATTTTCTTTCCTCTCTTTTCCTTCTTTTAAAGCAAACTTTGCGTAACTTATTGAGCAAGGTTGCTCCTTCCTTTTCTGCTGAACTTAAACAACTAAATCAACAGTATGAACAATTATTTCATAAATGGATGTTGCAGTTACAGTAAGTACTATTACCATGATACCCTTGTAAAATAAAGAATAATATAATATATAGGTCTGTTAAAATCAAGGTAATTTTACATTTAATTTTCTTTTTGCAATGAATTAAGAGATATATATATATATTTTATTGTGTGAGGAAGATCAGCCCTGAGCTGACATCCGATGCCAGCCCTCCTCTTCTTGCTGAGGAAGGTTGACCCTGGGCTAATATCTATCCATGCCCATCTTCCTCTACTTTATATGGGACACCCCCACAGCATGGCTTGACAAGCGGTGCATCAGTGTGTGCCTGGGATCTGAACCTATGAACCCCAGGCTGCCGCAGCAGAGTGCACACACTTAACTGCCATGCCACCGGGCCGGCCCCTATATTTTTGATTTATATATAAAAATTTTAAAAAACAGATGTTTTCCCAATTTTATGACTCAAATGTAGAAATTTCATATTATTGTGACTCTTAGAAATTCTACAGTTTTCAAGAAATTTATGTTTTCTAAGCTTATCAGATGTGAAAGCCATTTGTAAAATAAATAATCTTTCTTAGAATTATAAGCTATTACTCATAATATATTTGAAAATCTAATTTATTAAGGTTGATAAATATATCAATTAGATTTTAATCCAGTTTTCCGTAGCAAAGTTCCAAATAGAGCGAATATATATTTCTTCTAATCTCATTCTATATACATGTGCTATGGACCTTCAGAATTTCATGAGAATCTGTCCTATAAACATCATTTTACCATTTTAAAATTATATCTTATAATATTTTTCGATTTTATCATTTTTCAGATACCTCAAGTTGAATTTTAAATTTCCATTAAAATATCTAGAATGATTAAAATTAAAACATAGTATTTTTTTTTACTATAATTACTTTTATGCTTGTATTTTTAAAAAAGACCTTAGTATAAGGAAGTGCTTAAAATGTGCTAATGTAAATATACATGCACACACACAGTTACATAGTCACTGGGGTAAATAAGACAGCAGGTCCACCAAGCAGTAAGAACATAGAAATTGCTACAATTTTCCCCAATTGATCCTAGTTTTCTTTTTTTGTGTGAGGAAGATCAGCCCTGAGCTAACATCTGATGCCAATCCTTTTTTTTTTTTTTTTTTTGCTGAGGAAGATTGGCCCTGAGCTAACATCTGTGCCCATCTTCCTCCACTTTATATGGGATGCCTCCACAGCATGGCTTGACAAACAGTGTGTTGGTGTGTGCCTGGGATCTGAACCTACGAACTCCGGGCCGCTGAAGCAGAGCACACGCACTTAACGGCTTGTGCCACCAGACTGGCCCCAATCCTAGTTTTCTTTTGCCAATAATATATCAAAGGGTTATGCTAGTAAGAGAATGATTATCTTCCCTGCTAGGACCTTAGATTCTCTCAATAACTAATTATGAATCCATTATAAATTTATAAAGTAGCTCTTCACTCTAATCCCATCCCCCAGTCCACTAATTCTTCCTTCTTCCGGTATGTCAACCTTGATAACTTGAGTTGCTTTGCTTTCCAGCCTGGACCTCATGGTCAGCTACTTCAGTAGAATTGCTAGCTCTCTGAATTCCTTGCTTCTTTTTTTCTGCTGCTTCTACCTTGCTAATCTCTACCTTTGGTGGATATCTCTTTTCTATTCTCCTATTTCCAGGCTATGCTGGATTGCTCTCGCACATCACATAAATTCTGTTTCTGACTGGCCTCCCTAAACAATCACAGAGTTGAACTTCAGCTTGACCCCTAGGAACTTTAGCTTGACCCCTAGTGCCTTGTGTTCTGGGTTGTCTCCTTCACTCACTTGGCTTCAGTTGCTTTCTCTATGTGAGTAACTCCGGTAACTGTGTCTCCAGCCCAGCCCAGATCTCACTCCTCAGCAGCAGACATGGATATCTGAATGTATATTGGAGGTTTCCATGTGGATTATTTCCCATAAATAATATACATAAAATTTAACTCACCTTAAACCCATCATTCCCACCTGCCCCTGCCACCTAGCACAGTGAATGTCACCCCATTCACGTAGTTGCCTGTGCCAAAAAATGCAGCTGTTCGTAAATATTCCCTTTCTCTCACCTTCCACATCCTCTCTCACTCTCCAGATCCTATTGACTTGCCCTATCAAGCTCTTGACACCTTACATTTTTGTCTGTGACATCTAATTCAAGTCCATAGTCTTTGGCGGTTTTCTAGTTTTCAGTCCCTTGTTTCTATCCATTACCCCCGCTCAGCCTGTGTGATCTTTCTAAAAAGACCATGTTACTTTCAGTTAGCATCTGACTAGTTACTTTTAAATGCTCGTCGTCTTTAGAATAAAATCTAGTTAACGTCTTAGTTGATTTAACAAGACCTTTGTGACCTGGTCCCTGCTTACCTTTCCAGTTTAATCTGTCAATTAAAACTCTGCTTCAGCCTGTAAAGCTTTTTAGTGCCTCGTACCTAGTGTGTTCTCCCTAGCCTCCAGGCATCTGTCGTTTGGGGGGTGATAGGAGCTGGAGGGAAAGCTGCTGGAGTTGGACCTGCAAGCTCTGTGTGCAGACAATAAAATGGTGCTTTTAGCCTGTGTAAGTTGGGAATCGGTATTCTTCCTATATTCTTTATGAGCTTAAATTAAGGAAACTGGTTGATTATAAAATTGGCAATAAGAGGTACTGAACTTTAATTTCGTGAATACTATCTTTCCTAACAGCCTGGGGTTCAACATTGTGCTTTATGGCTTGGGTTCTAAGAGAGATTTACTAGAAAGGTTTCGAACCTCCATGCTACAAGATTCCATTCATGTTGTCATCAATGGCTTCTTTCCTGGAATCAGTGTGAAATCAGTAAGTTTCAAAAATGTTAAAAGGAACATATTCCCTGCCAATCCATACCCCCACATCAGTGAGGAGGCTACTGATTCTGGAGCATTCAGTTTTTGTTTTTAGCCTTCGTGCTAGTAGGGTTGCATAGTGCTTAATTTAAAATCACGTGTTTGGACTCAGAGGGTCCTAAGTTTGAATCCCCATCTTTGAATTTCCTATTTTGTAACTGATAACGTATCAAATCATAGGGAAATGTTAGCTTTGTTTACTACACCAAATACCAACAGTACTTCTCTGAAGGACAGGATTATTATATTCAATTTTATTGTGCTTTTATGTAACTTTGGTACTCTAAAAATAATAAAAATACAAGTAATAGTTTGTAGTTTTATAATATATTTATTATAGATCATTTTTACCCAGTGCTTGTATCTCTTCATCAGTCAAAAATTACTTGAAACCTTTTGGGTGCTGGATATTAACCAATGTAATATTCCTTTTTAAAAGTGTCCTTAGTGTTTATATTCTATTTCCTTTGATAAATCTACAGTTTTCTAATGTTTCTCATATTGTTTGGGGGTTTTTATTTTTGCTCCCCTCTTCTGTTATCTGTACATTTTTGCTATTCATCCCTGTTTCCTTTTATCCATAACTTATCCAAAAAAATGAATTAGATATACTTAAGTACCAGTAGAGTTTTTTTTTTTTTTTTTTTTTTTTTTTTTTGGTGAGGATGATTGGCCCTGAGCTAACATCCATTGCCAATATTCTTTTTTTTTGGTGAGCAAGATTATCCCTGAGCTAAGATCTGTTGCCAGTCCTACTCTTTTTGCTGAGGAAGATTGGCCCTGGACTAATATCCATGCCCATCTTCCTCTACTTTATTTTTTATTTATTTATTTTTTTAAATAATTTTATTTATTTTTTTTCCTTCCAAAGCCCCAGTAGATAGTTGTATGTCATAGCTGCATGTCCTTCTAGTTGCTGTATGTGGGACGCGGCCTCAGCATGGCGGGAGGTGCAGTGCGTCAGTGCACACCCGGGATCCTAACCCCGGGCCGCCAGCAACAGAGTGCGCTCACGTAACCGCTAAGCCATGCGGCCGGCCCCTTTCCTCTACTTTATACGTGGGACGCCTGCCACAGCATGGCTTGATAAGCAGTGTTTAGGTCCGCGCCCAGGATCCAAACCTGCAAACCCTGGGCTGCCGAAGCAGAGCACTCGAACTTAGCCACTACACCACCGGGCTGCCCCCCAGTAGAATTTTTAAAAGTGATTTTTCAGACTTGATGGGAAATCCAAATTCATTTTTAATTTATAACAAAGGATTGATTTGCTAGTTGTATATATCCTAAATGAATATAAGAATAAGTTATAATTGATGTACCTCTTACACTTTTATGATATAGATCCTGAATTCTATAACACAAGAAGTCCTCGATCACATGGGCACTTTCCGCAGTGTGCTGGATCAGCTAGACTGGATAATAAACACATTTAAAGAAGGTAACATGAAGCAGCTGCTCTAGTTTAGGGGGAAGCTAAGCATATAATTCTGCTTGTTCATGTGTTAGCATACACAAAATTGTGGATGACATTAATAATGGCACTTCTCACAAAGCTGATTTAGATTTCTCTAAAATAATTTGTCCTTTCTTTTTCTATGAACTTTTTCTGTGAACCTCCCTTATCTAACAGGAATTACCCCTACTACCTTGAATTTGTGTGGCCAAAGCCTCTTATTTCAGAATAATTTTCAAGTGTTGTTTGGCCAGCATGAAGTGCCTCCAGCTAATTGATTATCTTTGTCTGATTTCTTATGTTGTTTAATATTTTTATAAAACATTCTTATTTCTTTTTTCTGAGTAGATATCACTGCATTTGAATAATTTTATATGCTAAAATCTGTGGAGTGGGGAAAAAACATTGTTTTGTTCTTTTGGTGTGAATGTTTTGGTTATACGAGCATTTCAGAAAATAAGAAATAAAATTATTTAGGTTCTAACAATTGTCATTTAGTCATTGCTTAAGTATTAAAAGGAGTAATTGGTTATGCTTAACTGATTTGATGGATAAAAAATCTCGATATTTTTTATATGCTCATTAAAATAGGTGCCTAAGTGATTATATATATATTTATATATAATATATACATTGTATACAGGCATACCTCTTAGTTATTGAGGGTTTGGTTCCAGACCACTGCAATAAAACAAATATTGCAATAAAGTGAGTCACACAAATATTTTGGTTTCCCAGTGCATATGAAAGTTATTTTTACATTATACTGTAGTCTGTTGTGTGCAATAGCATTATGTCTAAAAAAACAACATATATCCCTTAATTTAAAAATACTTTATTTCTGAGGCTGCCCCAGTGGTGTAGTGGTTAAGTTCGCACGCTCCCCTTTGGCGGCCTGGGGTTCGCAGGTTCAGATTCCAGGTGCGAACCTATGCACCACCTATCAAACCATGCTGTGGCAGGCATCCCACATATAAAGTAGAGGAAGATGGGCACAGATGTTAGCTCAGGGCCAATATTCCTCACCAAAAAAAAAAACTCTATTTTTAAAAAAAAATGCTAACCATCATCTGAGCCTTCAGGGAGTTGTAATCTTTTTGCTGGTAGAGGGTCTTGCCTTGATGTTGATGACTGCTGACTGATCAGGGTGGTGGTTGCTGAAGGTTAGGGTGGCTGTGGCAATTTCTTAAAATAAGACAATGAAGTTTGCCACATAGATTGCCTCTTCCCTTCACGAACAATTTCTCGGTAGCATGCGATGCTGTTTGATAGCCTTTTACCCACAGTAGAACTTCTTTCAAAATTAAAGTCAGTCTTCTCAAACCCTGCTGCTGCTTTATCAACTAAGTTTATGCAATATTCTAAATCCTTTGTGGTCATTTCAACAGTCTTCACAGCATCTTCACCAGGAGTAGATTCCATCTTAAGAAACCACTTTCTTTGCTCACCCATAAGAATTAACTCCTTATCCATGAAAGTTTGATCATGAGATTACAGCAATTCAGTCACATCTTCAGGCTGCACTTCTAATTCTTTCCACCACATCTGCAGTTACTTCCTCCACTGAAGTCTTAAACCCCTCAAAGTCATCCATGAGGGTTGGAATCAACTTATTCCAAACTCCTGTAAATGTTGATATTTTGACCTCTTCCCATGAATCATGATGTTCTTAATGGCATCTAGAATGGTGAATCTTTTCCAGAAGGTTTTCAGTTTACTTGTTCCGGATCCATCAGAGGAATCACTATCTATGGCTGCTATAGCCTTACAAAACGTATTTCTTAGATAATAAGACTTGAAATTCAAAATTACTCCTTGATCCATGGGCTGCAGGGTGGATGTTGTGTTGGCAGGCATGAAAACGTTAGCCTCACTGTGCATCTCCATCAGAGCTCTTGGGTGACCAGGTGCATTGTCAATAAGCACTCATATTTGGAAAGGAATCTTTTCTGAGCAGTAGATATCAACAGTGGGCTTAAAATTTTCAGTAAACCATGTTGTAAACAGATGTTCTGTCATCCAGACTTTGTTGTTCCATTTACAGAGCACAGGCAGAGTAGATTTAGCATAATTCTTAAGGCCCCTAGGATTTTTGGAATGGTGAATGAGTATTGGCTTCAACTTAAAGTCACCAGCTACATTAGCCTCTAACAAGAGAGTCAGCCTGTCCTTTGAAGCTTTGAAGCCAAGAAGCCAAGCATTGACTTCTCTCTAGCTATGAAAGTCCTAGATGGCATCTTCTTCCAAAATAAAGCTGTTTCATCTACATTGAAAATGTGTTGTTTAGTGTAGCCACCTTCATTAATTATCTTAGCTAGATCTTCTCGATCACTTGCTGCAGCTTCTACATCAGCACTTGCTGCTTCCACTTGCACTTTTATGTTACAGAGACGGCTTCTTTCCATAAATCTCATGAACCAACCTCAACTAGCTTCAGACTTTTCTTCTGCAGCTTCCTTATGGCTCAGCCTGAATAGAATTGAAAAGAGTTAGGGCCTTGCTCTGGATTAGTCTTTGACCACAATGTTGTGGCCGGTTTGATCTTCTATCCGGATCACTAAAACTTTCTCCATGTCAGCAGTAAGGCGGTTTCACTTTCTTATCATTCGTGTGTTCACTGGAGTAGCACTTTTAATTTCCTTCAAGAGCGTTTGCTTTGCATTCACATCTTGGCTAACTGTTTGGCACAAGAGGCCTAGCTTTCGGCCTGTCTTGGCTTTCCACATGCCTTCCTCACTAAATCAATCATTTCTAGCTTTTGATTCAAAGTGAGAGATGTGCAACTCTTCTTTTCACTTAGTGGCCATTGTAGGGTTATTAATTGGCCTAATTTCAATATTGTTGTGTCTCAGGGAATAGGGAGGCCTGAGGAGAGGGAGAGAGACCAGGAACAGCAGGTCCGGCCAGTCAGTGGAGCAATGGGAACACACGCAACGTTTATTGATTAAGTTCACCATGTTATGTGGGCACAGTTCGTGGTGCCCTGAGACAATTACAATGGTAACATCAAAGATCACTGATCACGGATCATCATAACAAATATAATAATAATGAAAAATTTGAAATATTGCAAGAATTACCAAAATGTGACACAGAGACACGAAGTGAGCACATGCTGTTGGAAAAATGGTGCTGATAGACTTCCTCGACACGGGGCTGCCACAGACCTTCAATTCGTAAAAAACACAGTATCTGTGAAGTACAACAAAGTGAGGTATGCCTGTATATAGTATATATTATACATATTATTTGTTGAATACCTAA